GAGTTGAGCTCTCACCACACCACCTTCTCTTTGAACCATCTCCTGCCATGCCTGAATCCTGCTGCTCCGGCCAAGCCAGCACATCCAAACCCACGAGCATCCTTCCCTGTGCACGCCAACAGCTTCCCACACAGGTAGAGTTGTCCTGGCCTCACCCTCACCACTCACATTCCACCCAGTCTTCTCAGTTTTAGCACTTCCTGGGTGCCAGGAATGCTGCTCATCTAAGGGACACCCAGGAACAGCTCCTCCCAAACCCTTGCAGGAGGTCATTCCAGCAAGCTCTCTGGAAAGGAGTCATGCCCCATGGATGTGCCACTGTTCTACGGCAGACACTGGAGTCTCACTCATTCCAAAGTGACTCCGTACCTCCAGCCTCCACAGCCAGCTCCCTGTTCATCCCAGTGGATCACAACCCACCTGAATAACCCCACATCCCCCAGCCAAAGCCAGCCTCTCCTGCATCCCCTGGGAAGGGCACAGCATCCCTGGCCCTCAGCACGGCTGCAGGGAGCCTGCAGAGAGTGCCATGAGCTGGCTGGCAGGCTCGCAAGGGTGGCAGGCTTGTGGCACATTCTACTTCTCTCTCCCAAATTAGAAGCAAAACGTGCCACTAGAAAGTCAGGTGAAAGCAAAAGGCTGCTCCTCAGCATCGCTGCGTGAGGCAGCATCTTAAAGCAGCCCCAGGTGCTGGGGTGCAGCCCTGCTTTGTGCTGGCCCTGGCACACACATGGTGCAGGTTCCTGTGCCAGGGGCTAAGCACAGCCCCAGCGGGAGGGGTGCAGAGCTGCCCCCATCCTCTGATCCCTGCGGAGGCTCCTCCAGCTTTGTTACAGGGAGGGACAGGAGTTAACAGCCCTGGGAGGCTGCTCCCTCATCATCTGCTTAATGTACCTACAGCTCGGCACCACCGCTCTCCTCCGGGATGCTCCATAAACCCCAGCCTTTCCCTTGGGCTCGCAGTGACAGGGGTGGCAGGGAAGTGCCACGGTGCCCACAGGGGGACAGTGATTTGAGCACGTTGCCATAGGGCCCTGCAGAGTTATTGCCATAGCTGGGAGGCACCTAATGTGCAGGGGTGACACCAAACAGCCAAGTTTGCTTCCTTTCCATCGAGCCTGAATCTGAGCGTGGCAGTGTTAGAGCTGCCCTGGGTTGGGTGATGGCTCCTACACCCAGTGAAGCACAGGGGATGATGTGTTCTGGAAAGAAGCAGAGCACACCACCAGAAAGGTGCTTCCCACAGATCCAATTCCTACCATAGGAACTGCATCAGCACGAGGCTGGAAGACATGAGCTGGAGCTGGGGAAAGCTCACTTGGATGCACTAGCCAGAAGCACTGCAGGGTATTGGCGTCTCAGCACACCTCCAGGGCTCCTCTCCGTGTCCCAGCCTATGGGATTCAGATGGAATAACCTCCCAGGACTCCAAGAGAAATCCATGGATACACATCTCTTCTTTAGCTTGAGGAGCTGCTAAACAGATGGACAAACAAAGGAGGGGATCTAAGGCGTGGAGCCAGAATGCTTCAGCACCAGGGTGGTATTTATAGAGGAGCCCAGGGGGAGGTACCCCAGCACCCACTCCACTGTCACGCTGCAGCTTGCTCAGCACCCACACACATATGCACCCAGCAGAGCGCAGGATCACCTTCACCCTCCCTTTGTGCCACCAGGACAAGAGCATGGGCTGTGCAAAGCTGCCCCTTAGCAAAAGGGATGGGGAGAGGAGTGGTGCTTTTCCCTCCCTGAGAGCCGGAGCGGGCCCCGAGTCACACGGGCATTATGTTATGATAAAGCTGGAAGTATTATAAATGCTTTGCATGCCAGACAAATCCTGGAGCAGGCTTCCAAATCCCCTCCAAATCCCCACTTGCATCTCTGCAGTCATCCATTCATGAAATCCAGAGCAGAGCCTCAGCATCCATCCCTTTGCTCCTGGTCTCTTTCCGGCAGAGTGGAAGCGAGGCACAGACAAGGTGTTTCTTCTGGATTAGCCTCCTTTTGTGTTTCAGGTGCTGAACCTGAGGAGGAAACTGCTGGGGCATTCCAGGATGGCATTGAGGAAGGCAGCTGAGCCAAATCCATGCCCTTCCCCTGGAAGTGAAGCATGTCTCATTCTGCCTCTCCATCACCAGCAAGCAGCCGTGTTTTCTCTGTCCATCCTGGTCACTTCCAAGCTCCGGTGCACGGACTTGATGTTCCCAGCACCAAGGACTCTGGAGCATCAAACCACACCTCAGGAGCTAACAATACACAGCATTCCAAGGCAACGGAGAGGCTGGAGCTGGGCCAGCAGTGACCAATGCATTAGCACACCCTTGGAGAGCTAATACATCACCTGCTCTTAAAGAACAGCACAGGAAGCCTTGCACAGAAGATGAGCTCTTGTCCCATCTTTAGGAAAACAGCTCAGATCCAGGCAGGAAGGGGATTTGGAGCCTGTCTCTCTTTATTCTGCTGTCACTGCCCAGCACATCATGCGGATAGGATAGCTGCAGGAGGGGTTTGGGAGCTGGCAAAGTGCTTGAAGCCATGTGGTGCTTGGGCAGGACAGGGCATTTCTCAGAGAGCAGCCCGGAGTATGTGCACATCTGCACACAGCTGTACAGGGGGAGAACACGCGCTGCTGTAGGCACAGACAGCAGAGGGGTGCAAAGCTGCCTGTGCACAGCCTGCCTTGGGAAGTGGGACTTGGAACAGGCTCGGAGAACAGGAGGGAAGGACTAAAGTGGGACAAAGCCACCAGCAAGAGACCAGGATCTGCTCCCTGGCACGGTGAAGTGTGATTCCATCAAGCTCCCAGTGCCTCAGCTCCCTGGAGCTGTGGAGTTCCCATTAAAGGATGTGGGAGGATATATTCAACAGTGACTAACTTGCTGTATCACTTGGAGCTCTTGGGAGTGTCCACGTGTCGAGATGAGGGTACAAAGACTCATTCACCCTGAGGTCTCCACTCAGCAAAGCCCTTATTAGCTCCTGGAGGTGAATCCAACCACCCCAAACGCAACCAACTGGGGCTCACAGGAGGGAAAGGAGACTCTGTCCTCACTCTTCAGCCCTCGTGCTTGGCAAAGACCACTCCTCCTGCCACCAGAGAAGGCAGGTAACCAATTTGGGATCCCCACAAGCAAAGCTTGGAAGACAACACGATACAGAGAACAAGGACTTAGGAAGAAGACACAGGAGCACCACGTCAGGCCTGGGCCATGGACCAGGGGACAGTCCCTCCCGAGGCTTGGGGCACTATCCCCCCTGAGTCCCGTGGATGGCTTGGGAAGCGGTGGGATGCCAGCTAACAGCTGCATGGCATGGGAGACCACTCAGAGCCACCAACTTCACTTTCCTCCCTCTGTCATTCGCATTGAACCAGGGGAAGGAAATCACTGCTCAGCTCCCTTCCCATTCCAGCAGCATCCACTGTCCTGCTGGCTCTGGCCACTTCCAGAGCCTTGATCCCTGCCACAGAATTAGCCCTCCTGGGTGAAACCTCCCTTCCCCAGAACAGCACCTGTATTCCCCAGTGCTCTGAAGCTGACACTGTGCTACGTACAGAAAGAAGATATTTCACCCTCTTTTCCCCAGATGCCTCCATTTTTGACCTTTTTGACCCCAGCTCTCTCAGGTGAGCCCAAAATCCCAACCACTTTAAGCCTGCAGCTGGCATTGGAGAGCTGTGTCCAGAGAAGTACATGGACAAGGCAAGTGAGAGCTTGGGTGAGTTAGAATTCCCTGCTATGAGCAAGGGAGAAACAAAGGAATGACTTGGAGCTCCACAGCCCTTCTTCCATTTCCATGTGCACACAAGTTCACTACAGTTTGGACAAGTATGTACAGCCCCATCCAATGCACTGCAAAGACTCTTCCAGCCCCAGCCCTGGACCAGGAGCTCCTGAGATGTGCACGGACATCAAGTGGTGGCTCATGACTTCCTGCACTGTGTGCACCCAAGTGGGGACTTGTGTGATGCGTCACTACCTAAAAACCAAAGCAAATGCTGCCTAACCTCATGCCAAGAGCCATCAAGAAGCCCCTGAAGGCAACAGGGAGGGGATGGACAGCACAGAACTAGTGGGTATTACAGCAGCAAGATAGCGAGGGCCACCCAGCCAGGATCTCCACTTGCTGGGATTAACTGGATCTGGGCTCCACAGCTGTAAAGATGAGGTTCTCCTCAGTGCTTTCCCAAACACCTGGGCTAAACCACCTCCCAGTACCAGCTGAAGTTGTGCTTCTGGTCTGACAGAGAGGAATCAGGACTCTCAGGGTCAGAGAGCCAGGAACTGAGTCAGCCAGAGGCCCAGCAGGGAAAAGGGAAGCATCATTTGATGAGGGCTTCATTGATCACCACGGACTTCCTCCCCCATAATCACTGTTTTTCACTCCCACAGCATAAGACGACACAGAGATCACTCCTCAGCTGGCAAAGCATCGCTCAGCCATCTCCTGTGCCTCCAAAAGACAGCCCTCAGAAAGCTTTTCCCTTTAAGCAGCCCCAAAGTTGGCTCTCACCACCACTGGCACGAATGAAAGGGATTTCAGTTCCCCCTCCTCCTAAATCCATCCCTTTCTGTCGCGAAGAAAAGGCAGAGGATGACCAAGGGGAGGGAAAAGCAACTCTCCCAGTGGCTTCTCACCTCTCAGCCTCCTGCACGGAGGCACTGGAGGGCTGGAAGGGCGCGGGGCCATTGTATTCCCCACGGGAGGAAGCCCACGGAGCGGGTGCAGGGCTGGGAGGGCAGGGCTGGGAGCACAGTGTATCTGATCCATACCCCAGCCTGAAAAAGGTGGGGACACACACACACACACACACACACACAATCATCTCCTGCAGCCCCCGGAACCCATTCTGCATCCTCTACATACCCGGGGAGGGGTAGAAGAATGAGTCTTCCCTGCTTCCTCCCAGCCGCATGCACACATCCACACACACCCTGGGCATAAAGGAGCTCTGTCCTGCCCAGCTCAGCCATGCAATGCCTGCAAGAGGCAGGAGTTACCTTATTCCCACAGCCTGAGCCTCCTCCTCTCTCCATCGTGGCTGGGG